CGGCATGTCCGGGCCTGCCGCTCGCACGTGGCTGCGGCTTCAGGGGGCGGGGCGGCGCCGCGCGGACACCCCGAAGCTCCGAGACATGCGCTCGGGGCTGGGGAGTCGGGCGCCAACGCTCCGCGTCCAGCCTGAGCCCGAGCGCCCGCCTTACCGTGCGGCCTCCGCGCTGCCAGCCAGGGGAAAGGGAGCAACGGGGTTTCCCGGGCGCACAAGTCGGGCGTCGGGTCTCGCGAGAGTCCCGAGAGCTCGCGAGAACAGAGCTAGAAAAGGCAGCTCCGCCTATCTTAGGGCGGATGCGGCTTCGCTTCCGCTGAGGTGCGTAGTGACCCCCGGAAGGCAAAAGAGAAAGCTATGGGGTCGGACGTGGAGGCCTTTTTCTTCCCCTTCCCTCCTTCTCCCTGAGCGTAATAGAAAGAGGAGAGAGTTCTTGTCTTGAGCTGGGGATATCTGGTTTCGTTTGCGTTGATCAAAAGAACGGCGGAGGCCACTGATGGCGGAAGTTATGAAGTTCGGTGGGCCGGGAAGGACCGAGCTACTTCCGGCGTATCCAGATGGACGACCCCCCCACGCGTTCCAAGTGGAAGTGGCTTTACTGGCCGGAAGTGGGGGTAGTAAGGGCGGAACTGTGATGGGGAACCCAGAGGAAGTGCTAAGAAGAAATGTGCCCACTACCTTTCCTGTTTCGACCACTAGCACTCGCGAGTGCCGGAGACGGAAGCCCCACCCTTCTTAGGGCGGAAATTGCTTCACCAGAGACCAGGCGAGCGGAGTGGGAATGAGGCAGTAGAGGCAAGGAGGAGATAAGGGAAGGGACAAAGAGGCGGAGGCGGGGCCTGCGAGAAATTGGTTCAGCTCTGCCGCCCAGTGTCTGAATCTGTTCTCTCAGCCCTTAGCTTTACTTGCCCATTTATATTTATTTATCTGCTTTACCGACCTGTGCAACTTTAGGCTGTCCATTTGCCCTGTCTCTCCATTAAAAAAAAAGGGACAAATTTTAAATGGAAATACCGAGGTCCTGATTATTTGCCTCTTTTAGGTAACTGCTTCTGTACATGGTACATCGCATACGAATTACAGCAACATTTTTGTGTGCGTGTGTGTGCGCGCGCGCGCGCGCCTACTCGGTGCCAGGCGCAGGTAAACATTATGTATTATTATTACGTGGACACTCTAGTTTAATCTTTATAAGGTTCAGGAACAAGAAGGACACACCTATGGTTTGTTGAAACTGTTAACTTACTGCAAAAATGGAAACATTTAAATATGTGTAGTTATTTGCTTATGTTTAAAAGACTGAGAGTTTAAAACATCAGAGTGAACAATAACTTTTTTCCACAGTGAGCTACTGTGTATGTAAATGTATCCCTCTGGTGTGGCTTGCTGTTAACTGGGGAGGCTGTGCATGTGTAGGGCAGGGGAATATGGGACATCTCTGTACCTTCTCACTTTCGCTGTGAAACTAAAACTGCTTTAAAAAATAAACTGTTTAAAAAAATGGTTTGAAGGCAGGAAGCTGTTCATGTGATGAGGAGAGGCTGCCGGCATCATAGTGTGTTAACTGGATAGGAAAAAACCTCAGTTCTAAGGAATCAGACAGAATGTATTTACTTGAGTCATTTATTTTGAGCCCCCAGAGAGGAACGGAATGCAGGTCCTACCCTGCAAGAGCACCTATTCTTAGGTGGGGAGACATAGTTGGACAGAGATGGGCACAGCTCCGGGTGAGCTGTGAAGAAGGGGCGGAGGGCTCCTAAGGAATGTTGAGAGCTCTGCCTAAGGGGCATATCAGATAAATTATTTTAAGGTAGATGAAAAGGATGAATCTTGCTTTTGGGAAGAACTCAGGATCTCATGGCAGGGGTTTGGCAGGGCATGTGTCTACGTAAACACATGTTGGGGGCTGCAGACCCAGCTACACAATGGGACAGGGGTGCAGAATGAGGACTATGGACCAGGCAACCATCATCTGAGAAGAAACTGGATGGAGATGATGTCAGTTCTGCATTGGACAAGGAGTATGGTCAGGACCGGCCCAGGTTCACATAGGGCTGAAGTGAAAGCACAAATTCCCAAAGGGCAGAATTAGAAATGAGCTCCTGAAGTAAAACCTGGGTGGCTGTTGGGGAGAAGTCTTGTTTGGATAGAGGAGCAGGGATGGTGCTCCAACTTTGGAATCTCATTGGTTATTTCTGCAGAGCATCAGGATGGTATATGAAGGAAGCTTAGAAGAGATATGCCCTATTGGACCTAAACACCTTTCCTCGCCTTGCAATGGGAAGTGGAAAAGAGGTGGCATATGAAACAGTGCTCACAGTCCATTGGCTATAATCTCTAGGGGCTGGTTAGAGGCCAGGAGCCCATTGGCTCCCTACAACTGCAGGCTAAGGTTGCTGCACCCAAAGAGACAGGGACATAGGAGCATGAGCAATTCTTAAATCTGCCCTTTTCTCCAAAGCCGACCTCTGCAGAGCCTACTCCCCCTCCCTTAGGCACCAATAGGAAGCCCTAACACTTTGATAGACGCGTAGGCCTAGCCAGTGGTGTGAAAAGCCCTGCCAGGTCTGGCAATAAAGGGAGGTGGGCTGCAGAGAATGGCCTGCCCTTAGCTCCTCACCCCCACCCCCCAGTCTCCATCACTTTCTCTTTTCGCTCCTAATGTCATCCTTTAACCCCCAACTATACTTTCTCTTTTACTCTTTCCAGCTGGGTCCTGGGTACTGGGTGTACAGGGGACCTTTGGTCAGCCCCGAGTAGCAAGGTCTTAGCCATGTTGCATATTGCAATACTTCCTTCCTCTGTGACTATGTGGACTTGGTCACTGGGAGAGCATGGCACAGCAACATTAAGGCAGGTGTATTACAGGACAATCATATATCTAAGTTATAACAAGAGGAGGGAAGTAAGATGTGAAGCTAACTTTCATCTTTGATTATCTAAGACGGAGGAGTGTTGCAGATTTGTTATTCTGTAATCTGTTAAGGAGTAGTCCACCTTCCCAAGGCCCCAAACAAGAAAGAACAAGTTGTAATTGGATGCCATTAACACCAATCATCTTGAATAAAAAGAGGGGTGTAGGTAACGTCAGGAAAAAGAATCAGTGATCAGGCATGTCCCCTGCCCTTTCTACAGGTGGGCATGGGGATGGAGGTCCCAGGTCTTCATGTCTTTGGAACGGCTCAACAGGTCTTCATACACTTGGCAAGGTTCAAGGACTCGACACCAGAGGACTAAGAAACAAATGCAAGTAAGGTCTTAGTATTACTTAATGATATACTGAGTAGAAAAATAAAATACTTTTTGAAAAACCCTTGGGACTCGTGTCTGTCTCCTGGAGTCCTGAATCTTTCACTCGATGTCTTATAAAAATTACCTACTAATTGATTTCAGGCCTGGCAAAGAGAAGGAAACTTCCCCCAATATTTGCCTAGACATTTCCCCTAAAATACTTGGGCAAGAAAACACTTTATCTTTCTAAGCTTGTTTATTTGTAAAATGAAAGTAATCATGCATAGTTTACCGAGTTGCTGTGAGGATATATGGGAATCACACACAGTTGGGTACTCAGTAAATGGTAATAATTGTCTCTAACCTTTTACAGGTCCTTCAAAACTCAAACAACATGAACCTTCCAAGTTCAGGAAAAACCCTTGATAATGACTAACTTGATTCTTCCTGTCTTGCTTGGCCTCAGTTTTCTCATTTGAAAAATGTTAGAATAGCATTAAATTGACATTCCATTGGCCAAAGCTGGCCTGAAGGTAAGTTTTGTTTGGCCCATGTAGAACTTAAGAAAACTGAGCTAACATTTGAAAATTAAGTTATTTTACATAGAAATCTAGTTTTCCAGATTCTCTTGAAAAATCAGAAGATGTGTCAATACTGAACCTACATTCCTGCCTGGCAATAATCTGCTAGGGCCAAAAGGAGGCTGTCCTGTAAAGTAGGGCATGTTTTCTCAGTTTTCTAGGGTTCACCTGGCCTTCTTTACTCATTTATATGATCTGCTTGGCCCTGTAGGCACTTCAGTTGGTGGCCCTCTGGACAGCTGAAAACTGTCTATGCCTGGCCCAAAGCAGGCACTTAATTACTGAATCAGTGAATCTCCCATTGTCTCCCTCTACCACTCTTATCTGTCCATAAAATCCATGTTTGTATTTTGTCTGTGGTAGTTACTGAATAACCATTTTTCACTTTGAGAAGTGAAATGAACAAGTCCTTTCTGTCAGGATAGACTAGGTTTGGATGCTGTAACAAACAGTCCCCAAATCTCAGTGGCTTAAAACAATAAAGCTTTATTTTTTCCTTACTCACACAATCCTAGACACACAAAATGAAACCACTCTCCTGTTCGCTTGCATGGAAACAGACATAAGTGCACAGGTATGTACAGAATGGCATGTCAAATAAATATCCTGGAACATGAATTCATGCAAAAACCTATTGAGAAGCTTAAATTGCACAGCTCTATCTTTGCTGAGATATTAAAAAGGTCCCAAGATCCAAGGGGGTAAGAGAATATACACTGTTGGCCAAGGAAATGCCCACGCTGCAAAAGGAACCAAAAGATAACAAAGCACCTGAAGGCTTAAACAGAGCCTGAAGCTTTTACTACATTAAATTCCATGCATAAATCCATAAGTAAAATACCAAATATGCAGTGCCTACAGGCTGTTTCACCCTGCCCCAGTGAGGCCCCCACCTCTGGGCTTCTAACTTAGGAGGGAGATGGAACCCAGGCGCCCAATATGCAGAGCAACGGAGGGTGCTGGGCTGGGTCGGAGAGAAGGGCCAACAGGCTGGAATCCTCTTCCTCCAGCAGGAGCTATAGGCAGGAAGAAAGGGGGCAGGACCAGGTCACATCCATTTCCCCTCCTAGCAACCCCATCTTTTTACCCCATCCAATCCAAGTCTCACCTTTGTTTACCTGGATTATAGCAAATACTTCCTCCTCACTCATTTTCCCACCTCCTGTCTTGTCTCTCCAATCCCTCCATCACATCCACCTTACTTGTCTTTCAAAAGCTCGGGTTCTCTGAGTATGTCCCTGCCTAGCTCAGAAACATTCTCTGGCTCCCCTTCATGCACAGTTGCTGGGCTGGACTCCTAAGACTGGCATGCCAGACCTCCATGACCAGAAAAGCCTCTCCAGCCTCATCTCCTCCTGTTCTATCAGCTTTTCCAGGACAGTTTCCTCATTCACACACCATGCCCAAACTACTGTTTTGGACAGGAGAATTCTCAGTCTTCCCTCTCTGTCCCCATAGGTGTTTTTCATTCCTCAAGATTCCTGTAGTTCTCTCCAGGTTTGTCACTGAGCTTTGTGAAGGCATCCAGTTTTCCCAAGTAGAATGGAAGCCCCCCTCCGCCCCTGCAGACCCTTGTTACCTCTTCAGCTCCTCTCCAAACTTTGAGCAGGGAACTTGTGTAGAGAGAGCCTTGGCCTGGAGTCAGGAGACCAGACTCTGCCACTGTCTTATTTTATTCCCTTAAGCAGGTCCCTGCCTCTCCCAGGGCCTCACTTTCCTTGCCATCAGGGGACTGGTCATTTGCTTTTGAGCATAAAACTGATAAAACTGATCCACTGAATAACTCTCAGCTGCAATCCCTTGGTGCTAGGTTGAGAAGCTTGGGGCCTGGGCCTGAGGACATTCAAACTGCTGACCTCCTGATGTCCTTGGTTAGTCCCTGCTTACTCCAGTACCTCCATTTCACAACCATCCCTACCCCATCCTTTCCTTTCAAGAAACAGGTTACCTGGTGGGCCACGGGGGTGGAGTAGGGAGATCCAGGCAGAGTTGGGTGGGACAGAAGGGGTCAGGCAGGGAGCCTGGGATGAATCTTTCAGCCCCACAAGAGCCTCAGCTGCCTCCCGCTGCAGCTGCCGCTCTGAGGAGGCAGAGGTCCAGGCCAGGTGAGAGGCTCCGGGGGCCTGCAAAGGCAAGGGAGAGAAGCAGACTGGGAACCCTCATTTCTGCCCACCCTGCAAGTGCTCCCTTAGCTCCCAGTTACTTAACTATCCCCTACTCTCCCCTCCCCAGGTGAACGTCCTCCCAGGGTCCTGGATCCCACTTCTTTCCCAGGACCTGTGGTTGTAGCAGAAGAGGGTCTGTGGTGCTACAGGGCTGAAGAATCAAAGTTGAGCATCTAGAAACAAAAAGAGAAGATGCCAGGAATAGTAAACACATGGACAGACACATACACATGGAAAGAGGAGCAGGATTTTGTTATACAGCTATGCACCACATAACAATGTTTAGGTGAATGATGAACCACATATACAGCGTTGGTCCCATAAGAGTATAATGGAGCAGAAAAATTCCTATTGCCTCATGATGTTTTAGCCATTGTAACATCATAGTGCAATGCATTACTCACGTGTTTGTGGTGATGCTGCTGTAAACAAACCTACTGTGCTGCCAGTTATGTAAAAGTATACAATTATGTACAGTACATAATACTTGATAATAAACCACTACGTTAATGTCTTATGTGTTTGCTATACTATACTTTATAGTGTTCGCTTTCTACTCATAAAGCTTGCTGTAAAGCACTATGCAGCGTTACACAGGCAGCAGCCTCATACATCTCCTGTTTACCACATCATTTTCTCTTGGCCTTGATTTAATCTCATTTTGTTTAATAAATTTAGTGCAGCCTAAGTGTGGAGTGTTTATAAAATCTACAGTAGTGGACAGTAATGTTGTAGGCCTTCACATTCACTCACCACTCACTGACTGACTCACCCAGAGCAACTTCTAGTCCTGCAAGCTCCATTCATGGTAAGAGCCCTATACAAGTGTACCACTTTTTTTTTTTTAGCTTTTATACCATATTTTTACTGTACCTTTCTATGTTTAGATACACAAATATTTATTACTGTACCTTTTCTATGTTTAGATACACAAATATTTATTACTGTGTTACAATGGCCCACAGTCTTCAGTACAGTAACACGATACACAGGTTTGTAGCCTACAATAAATCGCCTACACCACATAGTCTAGGTGTGTAGTAGGCTATGCCATCTAGGTTTGTGTAAGTGCACTCTGATGTTCGCACGATGACAAAATCGCCCAGAGTGCATCCTGTTGTGAAGTGACTCATGACTGTATTCTAATCTGGGGATCTGGGTTACTGCTGGGTCATTAGGCTTTGTGGTCTTGGACAAGTCCCTTCCCTTGTGTTAGCCCGCTTTGTTTTCTGTAAAATGACAATCCCTGCCAGCTTTTTTCTGCCAGGGCTACTCTGAGGATTATGGGAAAACACTGGTGTCAATTTTTAAAAAACTGACAAAACATCTAGAGGAAATGGGATGACTGTTCCTGCCCTACCAGAGTCTGGTTTCCCTTCCTCTAGTTCCATAATCCCCGTGGAACTTGAGAAGCAGCTTGGCCCACCTTTAGGAAGCTTTCTTTAATGGCCTCTGACCTGTCTTCTAGGCCTCTGAGGCTCTCAACATCATGCTCTCCCCATTTCAGCGGCAATTGGACTTCATATTATCTGTTTTATTGGATCTAACAGCTGCTCTCTGTTCAAGGCTAGGGCCTGTGCTACCCGTGTATTAGATATTATTATCGCTAATTCTCATGACAACCTGAGAAGTAAGTAATAGTGTCTTTAGTTTACTGATATAACAAATAGGCTCAGAGAGGTAAAAGTACTTGTACAAAGGTTCACAGCCAGGCAATGGCAGAGCTAGGAGAGCTCCGCCTCACCCATTAGTCAGTCTGAGACTTTTTCTTCTTCCTTAATCATCTACTGTAGTATTCAGCACAGGGTTAGGCACATGATAAGCACATTATCTTCTCTCCCTACTCACGTGTGGGGCAGGGTAGAGGGCCCTTGGGATTCTCCAGAAAGAGAAGCTGTCAGTATTGGGCGAGATCCTGGGCAGGAAGGACGCGGCCCGTGAGTGGGCAGCCGGAGGGAGGTGCCAGGGTCAAAGCCTAATGAGGGGGAGAGAATGCAGAGTGTATAGGGGTCAGAGGTCATGGCTTCTGTCCTCCGTCTTCCTAGCCTGTAACCTCTTCCTCTTCTCTTTCTGATACAGGGGTACACTGGCATTCAAACATTTGTTGAATTCATCTTACCAGGGAAGGGATGCAGAGGGACAGCAGGTTTTTGGCATAACAAGCGGCACACCACGGGGGGTGGCATGGAAAGGCCTGGAGGCAGCCAGTGTCCAGGGGTCCAAGCATCTGGAGGCACTGGAGTCCAGGGCAAAGGCAAGGCTTCTGGGGGACGGCTAAGCAGCAGAGGCCCCTGGGAATTCTCCTGCAAGGGCAGAGTACACATGGACTCAGAAACAAGGCTGGGGAAGGAATGGGTATATTCTAGGATGAGGGTAGCTTGGAGGGCCATAAAGTCCCACCCCTTCATTTTGCCCATGGAAGAGAAGAGATTTGCCCAAGATGATATAGCAAGTCAGGGTTGGACGTAAAGCCCAGGTGTCAAGGACAGAGAGGAAGGGGTCTGGGCAGGGGCCAGGAGAGGAGTGACTCCCTCAGGGCCCAGGCTCTCCTTACCTTCCCAGGGGGTGTCAGTGCCAGTGGGACTGCCCCATGGAGGGTGTGAGGCTGAGGTGCTATGTTCTCCTTTCCAGCTGCGGGGGACCAGGGAGAGCTTTGGTGAATCCTTTCTCCTGACACCATCCCACGCAAACTGAAAACTGAGCTCTCAGCTTCCCATGGGCTCTTTTGTATCCACAGGTCTCAATGCAGCCTCCTAACACTTGCTCACATTTTAAGGGGGGGGGGCGAGGCCCAGAGAATAAAAACACCTTGCCCAAGGTCACATACCAATTCAGTGGCATGTCTGGGACTCTTCCCTACTCAAGCTTTCTCCACCCAAATCCCTGTCCCATTCCGAGCCAGAGACACTCACAGGGGGAGACACTCACAGGGGACCCCTGGCCGCGTGGCTCCCTTCTTGACACGGCTGTGAGCTTTGGGAGAAGCTGCCCCTCTCATCAGTCCCTGAGCCAGGTGCCTCTTCAGCTGCGCCTCCTGCTGCCTACGCAGGGCCACCTGGGCAGCCATGACCCTTCGGCGCTCCCTAAAAGGGGGCTTGTGAGTCAAAAGTCAGCCACCCTTGACACGGAACCCAACCTCCTCCCTTCCCTGGATCTCCTACTCACAAGATGAGGACACATTTGTGACACTCGCAAGCCTGAAAGAGGCAGAGGCGCTTGTGGCCCTTGAGGTGGGCAGTGACACCGTGGTTGCGGCAGCGGGCACAGGTTGGGGAGCGGCTGACAGCTCTCTTAGGGATAAGCTCTGTGCCCTGGGGGACTCGGGCCGCATCCCCTGTGGCAGAGTCTGAGGGGCAGTGGTGGACAGCAAGCACTTCATTAGGTTCCATGGATCTGGGGGCAGGAGTGGAGGGTCAGGACGGCCACGTGAGCCCTCTTCTGACCAGCCCTCCTGCCCCTGGAAGGCCACTTGGGCTGGTTCTCCGCCCTGACCTCTGGGCTCCGCTGTCACCCTTGCTTCTCCCTTCGTCACCCACTGCCTTCCTCAGGCACCCTCCTTCCCAGTGTACCTTCTTCCCAAGAACCCCACTCCTCTGTCCTTTCTTATCTATTCTTTCAACCCAAGCAGCATTCTCTTCTGCTCACCTGTACCTTCCTGAGCACAAACCCGGTCTCAGGCATACTCACGAACTCTCATGGCCCCTGCAAGGAACCCCCCATCTCCTCTCCACAACCACCCTGTTCCAACAGTTTTTTTTCTGGCATTCTCTTCACAATGATTATCCTTCCCTCCCGCGTTTATCCAGCTCTTACAAATATTTGATGCTTTACCTTTCAACTCATGTACGGCCTGCAATTCAATTTCCCCTTTTGACTAGATCACTCTCTTGCACCCTCATGAATCCCATTACTCTCACGGATCCCTTGCCCCACTTTCAGTAATTATCACTCACTCAACAAGCGCTTTCTGAGCCCTTTCCACATGCAGGGCCCTGATCACTCTCCTCCCGGGAGGAATCATGCTCTTGCACCCAACACGGCCTCCAAACTCAGATGCAAAAACCCGAATCGCTGCGGCCGTTGCTCACACCCAACAATTGGTGTCTGGCCCACCCCACCTCCCACAGTACGTCCCCTCATGCAGCTGTTACTCGATGCACCCCCTTTCAGCGGCTGTCCCTTCAAAAGCTGTGCCGTGGCTGGTTCTAGGGTCTCAGGGAGGGGGCGGGGCACGCGGAGCTCGCAGCGAGGCCCAGGG